GCCAGAGGTCCGGGTTCGATTCCCGGCGCTACCAGCTTCTTTTCTGAGAAGTAGTGGGTCTGGAACGAGGTCCACTCAGCCTCGTGATGATAACTGAGGAGCTATTTCAAGTAAATGGCGGCTCCGGTCTAGAAAACCGTTGCGCTGAGCATGCGACACCCTCTATCCGCTAACGTTGGCACTAAACTTCGCAGACAAGCGGTGGTCCCTTGGTCGGTATAGTTCGCTTGTGGACTACAGCCCACGGAGTCTTTTTCGACAAGGGCTGATCGTTCCGGTAATGTGCACTGCACTCCTGACTGATATTCGGGGTTCAAATCTCGTCGCGGAGACCAACCATCCTGGTCTTACTCAGTCCCTTCAGACAATATTGTGACACGTCTAGCCGTTGCTGGGCAACGGGAGGTGGAGCGAGTTACCACGAAGACAGGCCTTTGATAAACGGTCGGTTGCCAAGTTACGCAACAGTGGAAACGAGGTTACGGAACAGTAAGGAAAGCGGCGTTTCTCCGTACCGTGCCGAGTAGAGCCGAAGTGAGTCGAGCCAAGCCGAGCCGAAGCACGCTGGTTGCTACGCAGCAATAAACAACTCTCGGCAGCGTTGCCCAGCAACGCCTGTAAACACGGCGTTTACGCAACAGTGAAGCGATGTGGGTTTTCTGCTGTCCGACTGAGGCTTTATAAGGGAGATTGGAACGCGTAAGGAGAGAGTTACCCCGTGTGAAGGCGGGGTCGAATACCTCCACCGTGACCCTGCGAGTCGTAGGAGGCAACGAAAAGGGGAAGTCTCAAATGTGAGACAGTAAAATATGGTCGCAAGTCTCAAGGGACTAGGACCCGAGAAACACTGCGCTGGCAAGGACCAGCAGCATATGCAAAAGACAGACCCGTCCTCTCGTCAGAGAGGGCGCCCCACAGAAACAAGACGGTAACAGTCGAGGAGCAATAAATATCTGGTCATGAGCCCCAGGAGGGTGCTCGATACCAAGACTTACTGGCTGACTGACCGTCAGTCGCAATGTGACTTGGACTTGGTAAGGAGAGAGTTCAAATGTATCAGCCGCCGAAGACAGCTGAAGTCTATCAGTCGCCGGGTTCAGATGTAGCGAGTGAATCGTGAACGTGGAGAAGACGTCATAAGTTAGTTGAAATATAGCAGCAGTCGCGGGAAGAAGAATGGAACGTGTGTTACACTGAAGATAGTGTGAAGAGATTTGCGAGCAGGGGTTGTAAAGTGTGTAACCCCGTAACAGTGTTATAATCAATTGTAGTTACGACTTGTAGGTTGTTAAAGAAACCAATTAACAATCTGAACGGCGTCTTCAGTAGCAAAACACATTAAAATATGTTTTGATGAACCTGATAGTAGGCCACGGCCACTACATCTTCCTTTCTCTTCCATTCTGTTTCTTCTATAAAGTAAAATTTTAGGCCGACAGGACCTCTTCCGAATCTCATTAGTGAACCGACGACCTTCAGGTCTTTCAACTCTTCTTCTTCCATGAAATCTATACTGTATCGTTATTTTAGGTAGTTCTACATAACTTCCACACTGACTCTTCATTTGTCTTATGTATTTCTCAATATTCTGTGTGTTAGCTATGCCAAGTTCTCTCTTAATTGTTTAACTGCCCACGTGCAATCTTGGCGAACATCCAGCGATTCCTTCTCGTTCTTACATTGCAGACTTCCAATACCAAGGCAGGAAGGTAAAAGTAAAGTTGTCCCTGTACTTAACTAATTAAGCACTACGCCATGAAGGCTTATGTAGAAATCGATGTATAGACCTGTATTTGCTTGACCTCGGCACTAGTTGGAGGTGAGTGGTCAGCTTCACGCCCCGGCTGCTATACCCCCGGGGAAAGAGCCCCGGTACCCATGGGATAGGAGGTTGGTTGGTCCTCAGAGTCAGTATGGACGACGTGGAGAACACAAAATTCTCGACCCTACCGGGACTCGAACTCCGACCCCTTGATCGTCCAGCCCACAGCCAGTCGCTATACCGACTGAGCTATCCGTGTTCCTCACGTCCAGCCCACAGCCAGTCGCTATACCGACTGCACTATCCCTGCTCCTCACGTCCAGCCCATAGCCAGTCGCTATACCGACTGCACTATCCCTGCTCCTCACGTCCAGCCTGTAGCCAGTAGCTATACCGACTGCGCTATCCCTGCTCCTCACGTCCAGCCCACAGCCAGTCGCTATACCGACTGCGCTATCCCGGCTCCTCAAGTCCAGCCCACAGCCAGTCGCTATACAGCACTATTCCTGCTCCATATACCAAGGCAGGATTTACTGTTATTTTGTAAAGTCTGAATTGATCTTGGTTTTACGGCGTTTCTACTTCCGTTTCTGCTAACTGAGCCACTCGTGTTATTACAACTATTTATCTTAACTTCCATAATTTGAGAGTTATTACTTAAGTACTTAATTGCCCTGTTCTTAACTTATTAAGCACTACACCATGAAGATATATAGTGTAGTGGATGTATAGACCCATGTTTTCTTGACCTCAGCACTAGTTGGAGGTGAGTGGTCAGCTTTACGCCCCGGCCGCTTTACCCCAGGGAAAGAGCTCCCTAGCCATTGGATAGTAGCCTGTTTGGGCCTCAGAGCCGGTATGGAGGACATGGAGAGGAGGAAAATATTGTCCTTACTGGGACTCAACCTCCGAACCCTAGGCCGTCCAGCTAGTAACCAGTCACTATACCTACTGCGCTGCTTAATCCTTTTAATTATATGATTGTTAATCACAATTTAACCAGCAGCAATATATTATCATTGACACTGATATTATCTTGGTTATCCTTCCTCCACGATTTTCTCCAGTACACTATCACCATGCAGTCTCACGCTACAGCCGTAGAAACCGAAAGCGTCTAAAGAAAACCGTAAACATACGGGGAAGAACCTTTTCGTGGATTGTGCAGGAATGTGACCAATTTTGGGTTTACAAAGCAGAGGCACAGCTGCAGCTTTCAACTTCCGCCTGGAGATCATTCACAGGAGAGATAATGGGTTATACGAGCATATGGTACAGGGAGGCAGATGGCTCCGTTGCGCAAGGCCATTGTCAAGGATGTTGTGAAGGGTGTGCGGCAGTTTGGGGGGACTTCCTAGAAGCCGTTACAGGCGGATGAAACTCCTGGACAAGTTAATCTGAGCTCGGAACAAAGAAACTTTCGAATGAGAACAGTAACCAGCTATATTAAACAAGGGATATGTGGTATCGGTTATGATAAATTTAATGTGTTCAGAAGAAAAGTTTCGTAAGTTATGTATGATGATATCACCTGATGTACTGAGGATTTCTGTGATCTAACCTCCTACAATTTGCGGCCTGCCTAAAATATGCAGCTACGCACAAACAACTTGTTTATTTAGGTTTTCACGGCTGTTAATTGTTGATGTTCATTCTGTTCTGGGGTTGTGAGCCATCTTGCCGACTTTTCGGAAATGTATACTGCCCTCCATCTTTAGGGTCAGAGTGTGTAAGCTTCCCGTTCTTATTGGCCCATAAGAGGCACCAATCAACACTCTTACCTCCACTTCACCGTTCCTCCTCAAAACAGAATAATACAAACAGAAACTCGACCCTGAAGAAGTTTCCATGTACCTCCGAAACGTCAACATTATCCAAAATGACACGGTGCAACAACCAAAGAACCGAATTAATATGAATCTTATTTTATTACTGTAAAGAGTCGTTCCCTTCTGTCCATTAACCGTCTCTGGAAACCTTCCCAATCACAGAACCATAATCTGGCCAAAAGTTATTCCGATCCATAAAAGGGAGACAGTAAAATATACGGTAGTCTCGATAGTGATTGGTTGTTTCTGTGTTTGCATTAACCTAGTAACTAATTCCAAGGAGCAAACTCTTTGTCAGGAAGCTGATGATTTCACAGCTGACCAATTAATTAATTAACTTTCATGGAATCCTAAGGTTCATTACCAGACATACAACAGTCCTATCAGCCAGATGAATACCATATACAATCTCAGAATTTATTTCTTTAACGTGCACTTTAATATTATCATTCCATTTATGTCTACGTCTCCCAAAGGATATATTTTCTTTAGGTTGTCCAATTAAGAATTTTTACTCATCGCATTTAATATTTTCACATGTGTGCTACATGCCCTGCAAATTCCTTAGTCTATGATTTGATCACCAAAATAATATAAGATTGGTGAAGAGTCAAAATTATGAAGCACCTCATCTTGTGATTAGCACTCTTCTCATATGTGATCGGAAGTAAGCAGTGAATACGCCGAGAAAAGCCAAAATTAAACAAAATGGACTATTTATACAGGTTTGCCAGTTCCTAAAATTCCCTTCACGTGGTCTAAATAAACACAGCGAAGCGTTTTATTTGAATAGAAGAAGAAGCAGGAGAATATCTAGGAAAATGACGTGGGATTCAACAACGCCAACGCATTACCTTTTTAGAATTATTTTATGAACTTACAAAGAAGACAAACGCATTTATGGTACCTGTTTTAAAACAAAAATCTATAGATTTAATGTCACATAAAAAGAGAAAATACACATTTCATGGTTTCTCATTCTACTGCCAATAAAGTCGTCCCTGTGCTTATCTAATTAATCACTATGCCATGAAGACGTATGGGGGAGTGGGTGTATAGATCCACGTTATCTTGATCTCGGCACTAGTCATCCTGTAAGAGAAATGAGTTCCAGGAATCCTCAGGGTAGAAGGTGGCCGACGCGTAAGGCTCACAACCTCACAACCATATGTGGTTCTCTACAAAGTGTGGGAGCCTCGACGTCCCACAACCCTACGGGCCTCCATGGCATGTTACAGGGATAGCTTTTTACATTCTACTGAGTCCCCTTAAATTACCCTAGGAGACATAATAACGGTTCAGAACCTTGAAAAGGTAAGGAACAAAAGAAGGAAGAGAGATAAATATGGAGAAAGAGCGACAAAAGAACAGAAGGACGAGAGGGAATGAATATACCGGCTTTGTCCTACCTGTTAGTCGCCGTAGGTGGAGGCTGTTGCTCGTTGAAGGAATGGCGCCGCTTGTCCCGATCTTTGCGACGCCTCAGCCCTTTCCCCTCGCTGTGGTACGCCGCGAGCGAGCGGTCCAGAGCGGGGGATGGCTTGGGAACGGCGGCAGCGGCGGGACGCAGTTCCCTCAGCCACCGGGTTAGCGCCCCGGGGCCCGATTCTTGCCCGTCACACCGGTTACTGCAACAGGAAACAATGAGAGCAATAGCATCGCTAGACAACGTCCGGTCCATTGCTAAGCAACTGTAACGCACGCAGCAACAGAATTGTTTGAAGCGGTGTTTTCTATGTGGTCCGCGCCGACGTTATATACAGAGAACCTACAGGCAGAACTCTTCAGAAACTCCGTGTGGAAGCCGGGTCGAATACCTCCATCGTAGCCCTGCGACGAAGAGGGAGCCCAACGCCTGGGGGTATAACTGGGTCACCCTCTTTGTGGGGATATAAACATACCTTGGCCCTCCAGGTCGAGGGAGTCTGAAATTTGAGACAGTAAAATGTGGTCATGAGTCTGGGAGCTGGGAGAACTCGGACCTGAGAATGACTGCGCTGGCGAGGACCAGCAGCAATTGTAAACAACAGACTTATCCTCTCGTCAGAGAGGATATCACATGAGGACAATAACTGCAAGTGTTCTATCGAAAAAAAATCTGATCGTGAGTCTCAAGGGGCTTGTCGCCAAGACGAACTGATTGCACTCTCCATAGAACAGTATTAAATGAGTAATACCTTATTCTTGCCACGCTCGGGAATTTGCGACAGATGTCCAGCTTTCTAAATTGCACCGCTTGCAAAATATGGTTCTCCGCAACATTGGCAAATTCCCAAGGTGCACACCGGTCCGCGAAACGCACATGTCTTTCCAAGTACCGTATCCTTGTGATTACCTGAAGAAATTGTGCAGGCAACATGCAGAGGTCATATAAAAACATGAAAATGCAAATTTTCGCGATACTGGAAAAGATGAAGCCCGATACAGGAAATATAAAAGGCTTAAGCTTGACGGTGATCAAGCTTACGACCGTACAGTTGATTAGACAGCCGTTGTAACATAAGCTACATGACTTAGGCCAGGATTTGCTGTGACAAATTTGGACTGATAGACGCCTTGTATATATTGTTCACACACACACAAGAATTACATGTAAAACCGGACTCTTCACATCTGGCCTGACATTACTGCCAGTTTCTCCAGAAACTCTTTTCTGTTTCGAGAAGCTACTTATGAGACTATAATTTTGTTTTTAAATAACACGAATGCCGGTTGTTGGAAGCTTAGATTGACGAAAGGAGAACAAAAGTAATCGAAACACTGAATCACCATTTACTTTAAACGCGCTGAGACATAAACATCAAACGGGCACGGGGTAGCGTAGTTAGTTGAGGCACTATGCTACAAGCCGGAAGGGGCAGGTTCGATTCCCGATTAGGCCATTGGATTTTTCCATTTACCTAATCCTTTCAGCCACACTATGGCCCTGGGTCGACTCAGCCTCTAATAGAAATGAGTATCAGGAATCTTTCTGGGGGGTAAAGGGAGGCCGGCGCATAAGGCTGACTACCTCACCGCCATCTGTAAGCCGATTGTCTAGAAAATGTGGGAACCTCGACGTTTCACAACCCTATGGGCCTCCACGGCCTGTTGCTTTTTTTTTTTTTTTTACGAACATCGAACTTCAAGGTTTTCTCTCAGATAGCAATTGCCTCTAAACTGGTTTGGAATGGCATACCTATCATGTTTCATTGAACCGTCATCATCTGTCACGTGACAGTAAAATATTTGGCTTCATCGTCAATTTTACGGAGCTACAAGTGAGAAGAGCAGTGTTAAAATGGACCATAGAATTCCTAAGTTATTGCACATAAGCCACGACTGAATGTAAAGCGCTACTTTCTAACTCATTCCATGTAAATTAAACCGACTTTACCACCATTTTACGTGCCTCGACCTTACGTCACTGTATAAGTCATTCTCGCATGCCTGCAGTTCTCGAACTATGCATGTACTGCAGGCTAACAGAGTTACTGTGTGTCTGGTTTATTTTATGATGGTATTGGCATCACGAGCCCGCATGTTCTAGTGGTCAGAGTTCCTGGCTACAGATCCAGAGGTCCGGGTTCGATTCCCGGGGCTACCAGATTTTCTGAGTAGCAGTGGGTCTGGTACGGGGTCCACTCAGCCTCGTGAGGATAATCGAGGAGCTTCTTTAAGGAAATAGCGGCTCCGGTCTAGAAAACCGACGTTAACTGCTGTGGGGATCCGTTGCGCTGACCACGTGACACCCTCTAACCGCTAAAGTTGGCACTAACTTCGCCGACAAGCGGCGGTCGCTCGGTCGGTATAGTTCGCTTGCGGACTACAGGCCACGAATTGAGTTTGTTTTTGTTCCTCTTAACATGGGTTATATAATCGGCGTGAAATATCTTAACGATTATCAGACGATCAAGGGATCGAGACTAGGTCATTGTAATGGGCCCACATGAGCACATTTTCCCCATTTAAACTTTACGACGGAACTGGATCCAGTATTAGAAACGTGTATTACAAACATATCCCAGTCACTGCATAACATCCAATATAATATTCCTGTAATAAACCAACCATTGTGTTAAATACTTCTGTCTTATGGTATATAACACCATGTTTTTTTTTCTCCCCTTTGGCGCTACAGCCCCAATTTGGGCCTTGGCCTACCTCGATGAAACTGTCCGTTTCAATTCGGTTTACTAGATCTTAGACATACGGTAGGACTCCTCTGGCGGGTGATCAGCTCGTCTCAAGGCCTTTACCTGTACACAAACATAGAAAAACGCAGACACACACAAACACTAAACATCTATGCCCTGAGTGGGATTCGAACCCATGATCCCGGCTTCGTTGCGCTGACCAGGCGGCACCCTCTACCCGCTAAAGTTGGCACTAACTTCGCCGACAAGCGGCGGTCGCTTGAGGACTACAGGTCACGGAGTTATATGATACTAAATATTGTCGAATAGAAAGATAATACGTAATGAAGTGGAAAGGATATGGAAGGAGCTGATATGGCATTATCGAGTTAATATTCCGGTATTTGCCCGGCGGACTGAGGACATATAAACGTCGAATAGAATAACCGATATCCCGGCAGATATTCGAACCAAACGCCTCCCAAATAAAAATTTAGAGCCTTACAGATAAATTAACCTGATCGGAGCAGAGTTATTTAACTGAGGAAATTCTTTATTGTTTTCTGTTTATGATCCTCCACAATGAACATTAATATTTGTATAATTTTCTGAACGTTAACACAGTTTCTGTATCCTTAGAGAGAATAATTATGCGTTAGATATTTTCGAGAAAGGGTGTAAGCATAAATTACAGAATTATTTTTCACTTAACAGTAGTGGCCTGTAGTCCGCAAGCGAACTATACCGACCGAGCGACCGCCGCTTGTCGGCGAAGTTAGTGCCAACTTTTGCGGATAGAGGACATCACGTGGTCAGCGTAACGGATCCCCACGGTCGTCAATCTCGGTTTTATAGACCGGAGCCTCTATTTCCTTGAAATAGCTCCTCAATTATCCTCCCGAGGCTGAGTGGATCTCGCTCCAGACCCACTACTTCTCAGAAAATCTGGTAGCGCCGGGAACCGAACCCGGGACCTCTGGGTCTGTAGGCAGAAACTCTGACCACTAGACAACAGAGGCGGTCGGTCTTTTTTTTATTATTATTATGCTTCTTTACAATCTACATCATTACAGAATATTAAGTAAATGTGTTGTAGGTGTTAGCTTGCAAGGGAGACATCCAGTGATGTTTCTCCTACATGTAGTCTATTTCATTGACTGATGATGTCTTGGGGCCATGTTCTGTTCAGTCTTCTTGTCACTGGACGTTGGTGTATAGCTCTTCTATTAATTCGTTGTCATGGTTTACAGTTTGGTTTTTGTACATTTCAGCCCTTTTTAGTATTTCATGGTCGGTCTTTTGAACACGTTATGAATTTTCATGTTCCTTGAAAGGAGGTGAATTATTTGATTAAGCAAATGTGTTCTTCTCAAAAACAGCTCTGAACCAAAGGGTCAGCTGTTGAGCAGTGTGCTCATGATTTGAGCAATTATGTAGACCTTCATAACGAAGTAACCACGAAGCGAAGGCATTGATAGATAGAGGATTTCAGCGTTAGTTATAGGATTTCACTAGCAACGGTGCGTGAAATTTGTGGTTTGTTGACGGGAAAAAAGTGTAATACTTGCAGCTTATGTTCATGTTAATTGAGATAGTCTGTGGCCACCTGGAAGGAAATCCTTATGCTGTTGATTTAATTAATTTCCTTGGGTTGCTGAGAATGTGGGCCCAGGACATATTGACTTCTAAAGTAACTGGGAATTCCTGAATTCACTTTACATAATAAATATGATGATCTACTAAACTGAGAAATATGTTTGTCACGTTTCATAATTGCTTCGCTTCCCTGATCTTTCGGAAGGTCAGACCGAATCTTGGACGAATTTCTTTTTATGGCTTTCCTCTACCTCTGAAAGTGAATGAGCATTCTTGCATGTCTTTTTTACAACTTATAGCTATTCTCGAGCCGCGCCATAGCTCAAGCGGTTAGTCGCTGGCTTCCCACGGCGGCGGCCCGGGTTCGATCCCGGGGTCTGGTCAAGAGGGATTTGTGGTGGACGAAGCGGCGCTGGGGCAGGTGTTTTCCGAGTACTTCGGTTTCCCTTGCCAATCTTCATTCCACCAATTGCTTCACAATCACCCTCACCTATCATCTGGGGCTGGTACAATTGGCCAGAAGTGGCCGCAGTACAGGGACTTAGTCCCACCCCACTAGCAATAAAAAATACACGTAATACGGCTATTCTCTGTCATATTCAACTGGAATCACTCCCAGGTTCATTACCGTACTAACAACAGCCCGTCACTACTGTTCATCCTGAACCAAACGGACCCATTTCACGCCATTTCATGTTGTTTCCTTTAAATGTCACTGTAATACAATCTTTCCATCTACTCCTAGGTCTTCCTAATGGTCTACTCCCTACAGGTTTCCCACCAAAAATTTGCATGAATAACTCTTCGCGACTATTTGTGCTACATACCCTGCCCATTCAATTCTCCTTGATATGATAATTATATCTGACGAGAGTTTAAAATTACGAAGATT